CGGATCACGAGCGGGAAGACGCTGAACACATAGGCATGGCGGAAGCGACTCAACTCATTTCCACACCCAAGAGGTAGAGTTTTCGGCGCGTTTTTTTTTACATGGTTTTCCCAATAGGCCTAGTCCACAGTCAAACTTTTTTATTCAATGGTCATTCACGAAATTTACTGCAAAAAAAAACGCGCCGAAAACTCTACCTCTTGGGTAGTGTGGAAATGAGTTGAGTCGCTTCCGCCATGCCTATGTGTTCAGCGTCTTCCCGCTCGTGATCCAATCGTCGTACGAAAAACTGGTTTATATGAAAGTTGTAGAGAATTTAGTCCTCTACAGCTTTGCCATTTAAATATATCAACTATTTTTAATAAAAATGGTCCAAAAGTTTAAAAAACTGGGACAATCTCCTAATTTTGTACACTTTACGCTTATTATTAGCAATAAATAATTATTTTACAAAAAAGTTGTTCAGATAAAAAAGATAGAGAATTTAATTCTCCATAAATTTGGTTCTTACCATTTTTAGCGAGAAATGCAAAATACGGCTACAAATCGATAAAACAGAAAATTAAAAATTTCGGGCACACGCCATATCAAATTTTGGTCTAAAACTGTGATTCCATATTCTACTCCGTCTTTGGAACCTAACCACGTCAAAACATTTCTTCTTCCATTTAATTGTTTTAGAATTCCTAAATTTATCGGGCTATACACACAATTTGTGCCGCGTCTCGAAAGGCAACAATCCCGATAAACACGCGACTTCGGATGTGACAAGGAGTGAGGGTATTTTTCCCGCAACTACTCTGTTACGTGCCTTTATGTTATATTAATATTGTGTTATAATTTCAGTTTCTTACTGTTAATATTAATGAAATTATTGTGAGTTGAATCGATTTATAATAAGTAACGCAATCATAAATTATAATCTACATAAAATGATTACTGTAGGGCATGTAAAAGACTTAGTGGTTATTTCGTGATACATACGTGTAGTGGAATAGTAAAGCATGTTGTGTAGCAAAATATAAGTGCTTTACTTTTGTATTCTTTATTTAGTTTGTTGTCTTGTATATCCCACCTGTTTGGGATATACGGCATTTTTAGCGAGCGGGATTTATGCCCAAGGCATATAAAGTGCGCAGATTGAATTCAGTGCATTAAATGCAATAAATGCATTATATGAAATATGTACCTCATGTCATAACACTTGTAATATATGTATGAAGATTGTAATTATTATTTATTATTTCATATACATATTTCATATACATATACCATTTGTATTCCTTAATAAAACTTTAAAAACATATTTTATAAGTTATTGTGTCATTTTACGTCTTATTTATATGCATTATTTACAAATTTTTCATGAGCCGTACATACCTCCCCCCTCCCTCTATGAATAGCCATATATCCCACCCCTATAAGGCAAAAATGCAGGGTTTTAAAAGTTTATTTTTCAATATGAAAATTAAATATTTCGGATTTCTAATATTTTTTTCGTAGTAGTGTAGACAGTACATAGTTTTTACTGATTATAGTTCGTTTACTTTAAACATAGTACATAATACTTAATAAATTAAGTTTTTGATAGGTGCGGCGTATATACCGGAGTTTATGCTCATATATGTATAAACCTATTTTAATTCTTCAAATAGATATGCTGGAACCGGGAGGGAGTACAATATAACTTCGGCGATTCATGTGGAAGGCGTTCCACCGATAATGGAGTCAATTTCTGTTTTGCATTCTGCCTTCACGGGTATCAACGTCACTACGTCGGACGCATCAGTAGTAATAAATAATTGTACTGTGCAATATAACAGAGGTAAGATATATGTAATAATACAATCTCATCCTTTTCTTCTTCTCATCTACTATATTTTAATATTTTATTTATAAATACAGTATAACTCTATTCATCTTTACTCCATTTATACGAACAAATTCGTACTCAGTTTTAAATATACGAACTCATAGCTAAACTCTTAATATTCAAACTAAAGCGCCGAATAAGAGCTTAATATGCTCAATATCAATTTTCTGAACGTTAGTTACTATTATCGGAACTAACATAGTACTGCTATAACTACTGAATTTCTGTTATCCAAATCATTCGATTATCGGAACTGTTTCGTCTCCCAACATGTTTGGATAAATGAAATGTTCTACTGTACCATGTTGAACAATATATTGATTTATTGTTATTTTATACTGTCGATTTATTTTAGGATACGGGATTTATGTAAATAGCTCATCCGGCATGGCGCATATCAATAATTGTACAGTATCCGAAAACGGAGCGGACGGAATAAAGTACGTGCACGCGGATGAGCGGCCAGACGATAAGCTGGAGCGTAATGACGTGTACGATCTATGCACCTTTCCTTCAACGGTCAGTCAAACTTTTCCCATCACTATATCAATGCAACAGAATAAATACGCACCCAACGTAAAAGAATGTCCACAAGTAAGTATAATGTTAATCACTATCAAATAAAATACTGTGCTTCGCATAAAAGGAGAGTACAACTTTTTTCATGTTTGGAAAGCGTTTTATTTCTACATTTTTTTACGTATTTTAACTTCTATATAAAAACCGAGAATTATATATATTATACAATAATAACGTTACACTCAAGGAAAAGTTAGTACATCGTGTGCGTGTGCATGCGCGCGCACGCGCGCGTGTGTGTGTGGTATGCGTATAAAATAAAGTTAATAAAAACCTTATTTACATCTTTACAAAATTGCTGTCAGTTCCCAGACATAATATTTATGATAAATATTTATTATTATTCATTTTTTTAAATGTTATATAAATATTTTATAAAGATAGACTAACTATTTAATGTAATATGATAAATATAAATAAATACACTATGCGCAATAAATTAAAGCATCATCTCTTATCGCCTTCGAAAAATGGGTAAACTTTAAATAAGTGTGATGACTTTACCTTCTACAAATGGTTACAATAAGACGTTCAAAAGATATTTTGTATAGCTTATATCTCTATTTTTCAGATCTGTACTTTAAATAAAGATTTGGCTGATTTTTACGGAGCTACACGATTACAAACGATGATCCGTTAAATTTCAAAATTTTTTGTGAACTTTGCAAAGTTTCATGCCGTAAATGAAAAGTCAAACATAAATACTAGGCGCGTTCAAGTTGACAAAGCGGCTAGCCTGCTTGCCATGCAAATAAACATGATTGATTGTTACTTATAGATCCAACCAATCACATTTAATTGCTCGACGAGCAGACTAACCGCTTTGTCCGGCTTGAACGCGCCCACTGTTTACGGCTTTCTACAGAAAGCGTGAACCTTTAACTTTAATTAATAATTTGCTTTTTTGATGAACATCGTACGATTTTTTTTCATCGAGCTATTTAACGTTGAAGTAAAACTGACCCTTTGACTTTGACTGCTCATAAAAGACAAACGGAGTACAGTATTCATTAAAAAAGAAAAAATAATTCAAAGTTTTTACTTTAAGACACTCTTTATCATTTTTTAGACAAAAATAAGCTATTTATGTAAAAACTTCAGTGAAAGATGAAGTTGAAAACTGAGACAATTACCTGTTTCTATTCAACTTGGTCTACTTCGATCAAAAAGGGAGAAAAACCCTATGATGTTAATGTAGTTTTATAAACTTTAGAGTCTACTGACTTTAACAAAACTAAAAGAAAGCAGTAGCGACATTTTTAAAGTAATATCCTTCCCAAGTAGAACAACAAATCACGATAACATCAAAATGACGTCACATTTGCTTAGGTTCATATACAAAGTTACGATTTTGGACAAAGCGGCATTCGCTGTATTGATTTTAATCTTATATCGCAGCAGGCATTAGCGTTATCCGAAGTGTATCACGTAGAGGTTGCAAAGTCGAATTTACGCTTATTATGGGTGTGCGTGCGTGCGTTCGTGCGTGTGTGCGTGCGTTCGTGCGCGCGCGCGCGTGTGTGTGTGCTGGAGGGACCCAATTATCGACATTGCAGTTTGATCAAAATCTCCGAATTGCAATTGACTAAATGGAATAAAAAATTCTTTTACATTAAAGTAAATGCAAAATCCTGATGTGGTGCCGTGGATGTTATATTAAAATCGAAAAAAAAAAAAAATATTTTTTAAACTATTTTTTTATTTTAGTATAAAATCCACTGCATCACGTCAGGATTTTGCGTTTACTTTAATCCTGTAAAAGGATTTTTTATTTCATTTAGTCAATTCCGAGATTTTGACCAAACTGCAATGTCAATAATTGCCCAGATAGCCAAACGTGTCGGAAGCCATGCACTGTAAATGTATGCTACATATTATGTTGGTAAAAATCGGGCAGCAGTCGAGCACGATCTATCATTTCAACTAGGGTTAACAAAAATACAGTAAAAATTCTAAAGGCACAGCATCATAACATGCTTTAAAAAATATTAGAAAAATTGAGCAAATATATTCGGCATAAAATATATACAACAAAATTCATACATTATATGTTGGCACAATATATAAACAAAAAATAAACCAAAAAGCTAGATTTGACATGATGTCATATTAAATTAGCAAAATGTAGTTATAAATCTGACAAATTTGCTCTCACATTGTGAGAACGGTAAGTAGGAATATCGCACGACTTATTATATCAAATATTGACAGCAAAATCACAGCAAAAATCGGGCACAGCGTGCCGTCACGATGTAACTGTCCAAAACACGGCATATGTATATTGCAATCTGCTTTAACAGATATTGAAGATAAAAACGCAGCAGAAATCGCGTATAATCTGTCGCCACATATTATATCGTACCATAGTTTTCCCGTTTACCGACGTATCTATCAATATTTATCTCGTATTTAAATTTCTGTCACGGGCAAATATATAGACTACATAACGCGGTTAGTGAAAATAAAAATGTGTAATATTTTCTTATCGATTTAATTTCTGACACAATTCCTATAGAGAATTCTGAATATTAAATTGATTTTTTTAAAACCGAATAACAATTCTCTCAATACGGAAAATGATTCATTTATTAACACTATTTAACAAAAAAATTAAAAATACAATTTCTATTTCGCAAAATCTTATTCTGATTAAATGTACTTCTTTAATAAAAATGCATTTAGTTAATAAACGTTAAATGTACGATATAATTTATATTTATTATGCGTGTTTTCTGCAGTCACGTCGTGACGGCAGGCTGTGCTCGGTTTTGGCTGTAGTTTTGCTGTCAGTACATGTGACGACAGATTGTGTACGATTTCTGTTGCGTTTTTGCTTTCATCAACTGATAAAGAAAATTGCGTTCTATATCTGCGCGTTTTTGCAATCACGTCATGACGGCAGACTGTGCTCGATATTTGCTGTAGTTTTGCTGTCAGTATTTGATATAGTAACTCGTGCCATAGTCTCGTCACGATTTCGCTATCACAATGTGACGTCAAATCACCCGAGCAGAAATGAATCTAGCCAATCTGATTTACCATCTAGGCACTAGACAGCATTTACTAGATAAGATTTTTAACTCGTCACTGGATTGTCACTAGCTAATATTTCGTAATATCAATAAATCTGTCTAGTGGCTGTCTAGTAATTACGACATTACACCTAGATCCTATTTACTGGGCAGCCACTAGACAGATTTTTTGACATAAAAAAATCTGTCTAGAGACTAGCTAGTAATTACGATGTTACACCTACATCCTATTTACTAGGCAGCCACTAGACGGATTTCTTGACATAAGAAATCTGTCTAGTGGGTGTCTAGTAATTACGACATTACACCTAGATCCTATTTACTAGGCAGCCATTAGACAGAATTTTTGACATAAAAGAATCTGTCTAGAGACTAGCTAGTAATAACGACGTTACACCTACATGCTATTTACTGAGCAGCCACTAGACGGATTTCTTGACATAAGAAATTTAAAATTTTACATGTAAGTTCAAAAAAACAATTCTAAACATGCGTTATATACAGGGTGGGCCATTTTAATCGATCCACCCAAATATCTCCAAAAGTAAGCGCTATACAAAAAAATTGTTTAAACAAAAGTTGTTCAGGACAATGGGGGTCATCTTTCTGCATTATTGATTTTGACCTTAAGGTCAATTTTTAAGGTTATTTGAAGGTCAAAATAATTTTTTTAAATGAGAACCCCTATTTTCGACACCGGATTCAGAAAGAGCGGGAAATTTTACGTCAGAAATGATAGTTTGATAATTTGCTAAAGTGACCTTCAGAAGGTCAAATGTTGAAAAATCGTCCAGAAGCTGTTTTCTTCAAACTTTAGAACATTTATGGGCGAACAAATGTTTTAGTAGGTTTGGAGACCAACGACCTTGGCTATCTTGACCTTGAGGTCAAATTTAAAGGTTATTAGAAGGTCAAACATGATAGATCGTATTCGTCGAGCCTGCGTTGCAATTCCAAGGGAAACTTTGCTAAGGACAGTGCAACATTTCCAAAGGCGTGTAAATTTGTGTCTTGAAGCTAATGGAGGCAACTTTGAACACTTGCTTTAATATGGTTAAAGTCAGAGGCAAGGGGACTGACGGTAAACAAGCACCCCAATCGTGAGGCAAGGGAACTCACGATAAACAAGCACCCCAATCGTGAGAGGCAAGGGGATTCACGGTAAACAAGTACCGCAATCGTGAGAGGCAAGGGGACTCACGGTAAACAAGCACCCCAATCGTGAGAGGCAAGGGAACTCACGATAAACAAGCACCCCAATCGTGAGAGGCAAGGGGACTCACGGTAAACAAGCACCCCAAAGGAAACAGAACTTACTACGTCCACGTCGTTGTTTCTGGGTAAAACTAAAAGTAAGATTAGCGAAGAAAGTAAGGTTTTTCATTTAAAAAATCACTTTGACGAATACGATCGAATACTCGAATACTCGACGAATACGGTCTATCATGTCTGACCTTCTAATAACCTTTAAATTTAACCTCAAGGTCAAGATAGCCAAGGTCGTTGGCCTCAAAACCTACTAAAACATTTGTTCGCCCATAAATGTTCTAAAGTTTGAAGAAAACAGTTTCTGGACGATTTTTCAACATTTGACCTTCTGAAGGTCACTTTAGCAAATTATCAAACTATCATTTCTGACGTAAAATTTCCCGCTCTTTCTGAATCCGGTGTCGAAAATAGGGGTTCTCATTTAAAAAAATTATTTTGACCTTCAAATAACCTTAAAAATTGATCTTAAGGTCAAAATCAATAATGCAGAAAGATGACCCCCATTGTCCTGAACAACTTTTGTTTAAACAATTTTTTTGTATAGAGCTTAATTTTGGAGATATTTGGGTGGATCTATTAAAATGGTCCACCCTGTATATTATATAATTAATACGTTATATTTTAAATATTTTTGTATTAATTTCTTTTATATTAAGAAATCTTGTAAGAAGACTGATTTTTTCATGTCAAGAAATTTGTCTAGCGGCTGTCTAG